AGTTATCAGTTATCTCCTGTTAATTCCCTTCTCCAAGTTCTCTCAACTCACACTCATGGTTCCTGCCACTGAATCTAACCAACGCCTTTATCCACTGTGCCATGTGTCCTTGGGGCCATCTGTGCATGAATTTCTGGGTATTATAAACCTAATGTCTCAACAACCATTTTTTTACCAGTGCTCATATTGCAATTTTTGCTGTTATTATCACTTTTTCTCTGGCACTCCTTATTACTGGTTCCCATATTGTATACATTTCTATGCTTGGTTGGCTCAGGAGATTTTTGTGACCTAGCATATATGCTGATTCTTTAAGTTTACGAATTTTCCAATGGTGTTCTTTGTCTATGATCTCAATCTGATCCCACAGATATGGCAACAAAGATGAGGACAATAGTCTGAATAATGTAAATAGTGTACATAATACCTCATCTCAGAAATATAGACAGATACATTTTTTTTTTTTTTTCTAATATATATGTTTTCTTACTTTGGTAGAACACTGACAAGAAACACTTAAGTCTAAAATATGCTGTTCAATATAAGACTGTGGCTTTGTATATTTATTGGTCATTCAGCCTGATTTCCTATTCATAATTGGATATTCCATTAACAGGCATTACTTGAAGCCAATAAGCAAACATGCTTCATGCTACCAACCATAACAATAGAATACCTCATAAGAGACCAGCTTACTGATACAGTTTTTATTTCTTTTTCTGTGTTGTTCTTTGGTATTTTTACTTTTTAATGATTTAAAAATCACATTTGTTGCAAAATTACTTAAATATTGCCATAATTTTCTTATAAAAAATTGTAGCTTCTGTCTGTTTATTTGTTATTGATCTCCTCCTAGCCTTTTGGAGATATCCCCCCCCATCCCCATAACCATATATATTCTGAAACTATATTACCCAGGGTACTTGGATAAGTATATTACATGTTGATCAAATGGTGTCACCAGGGGTGCTCACTACCAGCACTGAAAAAAAAATTTTCACTTTGATTTAAATTAAAATTAAATTTGAACACGGGAATACTCCTATCCAGAATATAGGAGGAGAAAAGCCAGAAGATGGAGGTCACATCAGCAAGATCGAAATGTGACAATATGGACATCAAGTTGAGCAGGAATCGGTGGGTAGTGCTTTACAATACATATTTGTTGCAATGATTCAACTGTCATATCAATGTTGAAATCTGCTCATCAATTCATTTAATAAAGTATTGCATCAAATACATATCAAAGGAGTCAGATCAAGTTGTTTTTGCACAAAATTCCCACTGAAATTTTTTTCCCTTTGATTTTAATTAAATTTAAACAAGGGAATGACTCCTATCCAAAATGTAGAAGTAGAAAGCCAGTAGATGGAGGTCACAACAGCAATATTGTTGAGTAATACTGAAATGCATCATTTGTCTCCACAAATTATAATTATTTAAAATCAATCATCATTTTCTTACAAAAAAAAGTGACACTGCAGCAAGGTGCAGGTAATTTGGCTAGTGTTTGTTTGTATATATATATATATATATATATATATATATATATATATATACACACACTAATAAATTCATTCAAGCTTTTTAGTGTCCTATTACAATTTTTCTTGGTTAGAGGCTAAGTGTGTAGAGGAATTGTCCTTAGTACTTTTGGTTAATTCTTCAGCCTTTTTTTTTTTTTTTTTTTGCTAGAAGGAAATTCAGCTGACAAATCTCCAAAGTGCAGAAGAACCATTCACAATGCCCAGAAAGTTTTTTCTATCAGTTTAAAACTGAAGTTTAAAGCACTTTAATAAAACATTTGTTTTACTTTTGCTGTTATTACTGTACATTTTTTTTTTTTTTTTTGGCATGTTGATGATTACATAATTTCACAAAAGTTTTAAAAATAAGATACATCTGTTACAACAGGTATTAATATAACAGTGAAAAGGACTTCATTTTTTATTTTCTTTTTAAATTAATCATCCAAAACTTAATGCCTTTTCAAAATTTCAGGCATGCACTTAAAAATAGATACATTATTTTATGGTAAATTCAGTATGATATACTATAGACATGTTTTTGTGCTTCTGGCTATTTTTATTTGGTGTAAATACAAGTTTTTTTTTTATGTACTACAGTGTGACCCGGATATAAGAGAGATTTTCTCTGGTCCCAAATTAGAGCCTGTGTTAATGTATATAAAATAGACCAAACTTGGATATAAGAGACTTCTTCTCCGGTCCTGATAACTCTCTTATATCCGGGTTACACTGTACTGGAAAAAAATTAATCTCTGTTATGCTATGAATCATAGCATAAATCTATAAGGTGTTAAGTGTTGAAATAAACTCCTATGCCCAGCTGTATATTCTTTTTACTCCTTCATTTTTGAGAATGAGATTTTCCCAATGTTTAGGATGGTCTGATCTAATAATTATTGATTCTGTTACCATTATCTTTCTTTTACTAGAACACAATCGATACAACATTACATTTATAATGATTCTTCACTTGTTTGAAGTCTGCATCTACACTGTTAACATTTGCTTCTTGCCAAATAGCAAACCAGATGGAAGTTCTGACCAACTTTGAATGGTCAGAACTCTGTTGCTAATTGAGCTACCAGGATAAATTTGGTATCCCCACCCCAAGTTTTTTTTGTTCTTTTGTCAAGCTCCATATGTCTGTATCAAGTTTTTAGGCATATTGAAAACATTTTAGTTTGGGTTATATACTAAAGGCACTTGGAACAATGAAAACTATGGTTTGGTTTGTTTTGGTTTGTTTTACGGCATATCAACCTCAATGGGTTATTTAATGCCGATTAAAATTTTTGTTGCTTATAATATTTTTTTCTCCAAAAATCTATTTTTGATAATTTTTTTCTTCAAAATATTTATTGCTGGTAATTTTTTTACAAAAAGTATTTCTGGTATTAAAACCTATTTTTACACTTTCATAGTGTTTTGACCCCAGTTTGGGGGTTAAATATTTGCCCATAGCTGGAACCCTAACAGGTGCTACCACTCCGGGTCAGGGTGAACCTGGGAACACCAGCAATTAAGAGGAGGTTCCACGCTCATCAAAACCTCCTGATCAGAGGCCTTGCTGTTTGACATAGTTTATCGTCTTACCCAGGATGCGGATGTAGTTTATCGTCATACCCAGGACAGTGAAAACTATGAACAATTCATATATACTATAGGGTTCCCACCAAAAAAATAAATTTGGTTCAATTGTTGAATTTTTGTTACAGTTATTTGAAACAAAAGCAAAGGATTAAAATTTAGTAGTTTAAAACGGAACAAAAACACAAATGTTAGATGTGGCATTCAAACTAAAATATACTTTTTATTTTTTCCATGTTAATTTTTTTCCATCTTATAGTAAATCTAAAATTTCCTGTTTTTGTGGGGGTACCCTGTATTATTCTTATACATAACAGTATTTTAATCTATTAACTGTGGTAAGAACAGTTAAGTTGCTGCTTTCTCAATGTAGCAGTAACATTTGGCAATCAATTAGTGAAACCTTTCCTTTTTAATTCTTAATGAAAAACTTGGAGCCTTAAACCTAAACTTGCTGCTGATACTTATGTTTGACTGCACTCACTGAGGCCTCACTTTTTACTACTGCTATTGAAACCTTGTTGTCGCTTCTCTTTCTTTATTAATGTCTTCCATATTGTATTTATTTCTATGTTAGGTCTACTAAGGAGGTCCTCATGGCTTAGTATATTTGGTGATTCTTTAAGATCTCTGAAATAAATTTCACTCGGAATTGTCCCACAGAACAATAAGCCTAGTGGATTAAAGCATTGATTCCTGAATTTAGTGATATAATAATTGCGAGTTCAATCCCTGGACTGGGCCGTGTGTACTCGGACTCCTTAGAAATGGGGTGAACAATAACTGAGCCACACTAAATAAGAACTAGATGATATGTCCCTGAACTGTCTAACCCTGTAGATTAAATAAAGGGTTTAATTCAAAATTCTCTGAAGATACTCTGGATTGACAATCACCTGATGAGGTCACAAGGGCCAAAATATTGAGATAGCAACAACAACATAGATGAGGACAATAGTCTGCAGGTAAATAATGTAAATAGCATGTTTATAGCCATTTATTTCCAATAAACAGCAAGTTCTTATTTTTCCTAAAAGAGGCCAGCACAGTCGGGCAACAATGCAACAGTAAAAGTGTTAATGATGGTCATTACATCATAAATTTCCAAAACTTTAAAAAATCTATTTAAATTTAAAACTTTTAGCAATATATTGCATTTTATAATCACTGACCTAATTCTCTCAATTGTCAAGGGATATAACAGCAATTTTGGTGTCTGCATGTAAATAAGAACAGAACTCTGGTAAGAACAGTTAAGTTGCTGCTTTCTCAATGTGGCAGTAACATTTGGCAATCAATTAGTGAAACCTTTCCTTTTTTATTCTTGGATAATTGAAGTAATTACGAAAAAGAAGATTGCCCATGTCCACCTTCACCTCCTCCTCTATTTATCATTGTGATATCTTTTATGTGCTGTGTCCCTTAAGGTCATTGGAGATCATGGCTCTCCATAATTTCCTGTCTTTTATTTTTTTAGCTCTAAATAAATTTTGTCTTTTTTGACATCTCTCCCAAACCCTGCTCTGCCATCCATTTACTTGAGCTCTCCAGGTAGGTTATGTGTTGATTTTCTATCCCTCTCGCCTTCAATCTGTCCTGAGACTATCAAATTTTCCAAGTCCTCTTTCCTCATTATGTGCCCTAGAAATTTCAACTCTCTATTCTTAATGTTAAGTATGTGTCCTTTTTGTTGCCATTGTCTCTAGAACTTTGTCATTGCTCATATGTTCGGTCCATGCTATTCTCAGCCTCCTTCTGTAGAACCACATTTCTGTTGCTTCAAGTCTCTTCATCTGTGAGGAGACTGTCCAGTATTCACTACCGTAGAGGAGGACAGATACTACATAAGTTCAGTACTCTTTGTTTAAAATAATATTTTTGGCTTATGGCCACATCACGCTGAAACATCAGTTCTTGTATGATCACTGAAGTTAAGCAACATTGAGCTTGCTCAGTAACTGGATGGGTGACTGCCTGGGAATACCAGGTTCTGTAAACTTGGATGGGATGTGTGGGTGGTGTAATGGATAATGGCTCAGAATTGTTTATTGAAGATCAGTTCCAGTTCTCATTGTTTGTTATATTCACTTACCATCTTCTGTAGGAATTCTTGTAGTTTCCTTTCTGTGTTTGTTATCAACATTGTGTCATCTGCATACATATCTTGTTAAGATTGTAACCACCAATAATAAATCCTGGTAGGACTTCTAATTCTCTCAGAATGGCCTCACTCTATGTGATGTACCTGTAATAAAACTATAGAAATATATAAAAAGTGTTTAATTATGTACATAGGGAGGGAGATAGAAAAGCTCCTTCTAGCATATGCCATTCCCTATAGACAGTACAAAAGTACCAAATCTTTGGTTAGATAAAGACACTAGGTTCTTTGACATCAAAGCAGGGATCTTTCAGGGTGACTCCCTTTCACCTTTTCTCTTTGTTAACACCCTTGACTACATATTGAGAACTTTCCTTAACAAATATCATCAGCTAAGTTTTACTTTATTGCCAAGACTCTTCAGTTAATATTCTGCAAACAAGTTGACTGATATTGACTCTTCAGATGACCTAGCCTAACACTACAAATATCATTACCATAGTTCTCCTACATCATCTATAAAATGCTTCAAACAATGTTGGGCTCTGTCATTGCCTCTAAAACAGAATTCATAAGCTTCATGGCTAAATACAAACTGTCTCCAGTGAATCAATAAAATCTGTTGAATCTTTTACATACCTAAGAATCAAAATAAATTCTACTGAAAAGGACATGAAAATTCATATAGCTAAGACCTGGGCCACTTTGAATAAAATGGATGTAATCTGGAAATCTGATCAGCGAAACAATCTCAAATGGAGATTCTTTCATGCCACTGTAGAGGTGTTAACGTATGGTATCACTGCTTGGACATTCACTAAAACTCTAGAGCCTAAGCTATACTTAACATCTTGGAGATAACATCCAACTAAAACATGGCTCTGTGGAACCAATCCTGATATTTCTACAATCTTAAACCCTTGATTCTAAGCTTGATGGAGCCTACACTTGGATTCTGAGAGCTATACTTAACATCTTTTGGAGACAACATCCAACTAAATCACAGCTCTGTGGACCCAATCCTGATATTTCTACAATCTTATGTAAACAGAATGCACTTTTTGCAGGGCATTGTGGACGAGCAAAAAAAGAACACATGAGTGATATGCTGCTCTGGACACCTAGCCATGGCACAAGACAGGCTGGTCGCCCAGCAACCACCAACAATGACCAGCTGAAAGTATAAAATTACATCTAGAATATTTAGATTTCAGCATTAAATAACTCATATGCTGCTTAACAAAACCAACCAACTAACCATAAATAAATAATGCTTGCTGGGTGTGGCTACAGTGAGAAATTGACTGAAGTTGAGATGTCAGATCAGGATCGATTACATAACTGACCTTTCTTTGAATTTTCTCAAAAAATTTTGAGATATATAGTAGGATCACCAGACCAGATATGATGGCAATATTCAATTCATGATTATGGATGCTATTTAGTTTAGTATGGTACAAGGTCATAGTGAGTATCAAGTAAATATTGTACTTGCTACACTATTGGTCATCTAGATAAACTCCTCAAACTAAATTTCCTTTTTATTACATTTCCTGACTCTTTTACATACAATGTTCTTTCATGATCAAGGCTCTCCACAATTTCGTTTCTTTACCTTTTTACTATCTTTTTGTCTTTGTTCTGCCATTCATTCCTACTAACTCCATAAATTCCTTAAGCATGTTACTGGCTGTCTCACATCTTGCTTCCCTTTCCTTCAATATGTCCTGTGAGTGTTAAATTCTCCAGGTCCTCTCTCCTCATGTGTCTATTCTTTCTGATTGCAAGTATTACTTATTCCTATTTTCCTTAAGTTAAAGCTTCTTCATTGGTCACATGTTCTGTCTTTGGCATTCTCAGCATTTATTGGTAGAACCACATTGGAATATTTCACATTGTTTTATATTATAGAATCGTGTAAAATCACAGGTCCAGTAACCATTAGGTTCATTCCACGTCAATTCAACCAAGTGTAACCCCAAAAAAGTAGATTTTTTTTTTCATTTTGATATATGTTGTACATTTCTTTTTTTGAACCCAATGATCTCACAAAAATCTTTATATCTTCTGATTCACTAGCCAGAAATTAATGAAATTTACTACCCTTATAGAGTTTTACTCAAAGAATCCAAATAGCCCTTTAAAATGTTACAGGGAGTAACCAAAAAGTAGATATCAACAGTTCTCTGGTAATATAAAAAAAAAAAAAATGAACATTTTTAGGTGTCCAACCACATGGAAAAATTGAGGAATATCATCTTCAACCCCTAAAATTAACAAAAGGTGGCATGTTTGAAAACTAGAGCATTTGGAAAATAAATCCCAGTAAGTTTCATTAACTGTCTCTCAAAACTACCAATTTTAGACTTCTTAATAGATTTTTCACAAAAATTCTGATTCCTGGTAATTTTGCAATTATGATCTTATTCTGCTAAAAGTGATGAAGACCATAGATAACAAATCATTGGAAAATATTGCATAGTATTTGCTGAATTCATTTCCTAAGTTTTAACAACTGTCTTATTTTAATTTTTATGGCTTTTTGAATATGTACTGAAAAAAAAAAGAAAGAAAAGAAAACGTAAATTATCATTAGCATCCAACTTATCCACTTTCTTTTACAGTCTTTGAACATAAATCTATACCATAGCTCAAAATTTCAACTTGTGATATCTTAAGAATGGTTAGGAATTTTCACTTAAAATTTTCAGGATTTTCTAATACCTATAAAATCTACAACATATATTAAAATTAAAAAAATCCGTTTTTTGGTTGACAGGGAATGACTCCTAAATTTCATTCAGGCACCACATGTATTGCAGCCATGGCAGGTGGTGAATCTATGGCTTGATAGAAACTCTCCCTCTTCAGGCCGGTCTCGAATTCAGACTTATCCTTCTCTTAGACTGGTTGTCAACCACAGAAAGAGAGCTCAGTCTGATCTATTTAAGCCATAGCTGACAGGGTATTTCTGTGAAAGTGAATGCAAAGAGTTTGTTTTGCTGAATTCTTTTTCTCAGGGCTTATGATCATATCACATTGAAACACCAGTGCTTGTATGAACACCAATCTCAAGCCTGGTCAGTACCTAGATGGGTGACCACTTGGTAATACCAGGTGCTGTAAATGTGGATGTTCCAATTCCAGTTGGGTTCATTATATTCACTTACAGATAAATACCCTTGAATTCACCCCCCCAAAAAAAAAAAAAAAAAAACTATGGGGAGGACTTGTATCAATAAACCATTATCTCAAAGAAAAATTATTGCAATCTAAAAATATTTTCTGGCTTTAAATAACCTGCAAAAGGTTGATAACTGTAAAAAAAAACAACAAATCTATCAAATTCTCTTTCTGAGTTTTTAACCTCTACACTACCTACATATCCAATATTATAAAATAGATTATAACATTCATCCTATATCCAATTTTATAACCAAAAAAAGTAGTTGCTTGAAAAAAAGTAATATTATCAGAAGCACAGTGGCTATAGGTAGTGGATTGGATTGAGAAATTGGAGAGCTGAGATCAAATTCCAGTTGAGTTCATTACATTCACTAATATTCAAATACTCTTGAGAAAGACATAATCTCTTACTCTCCCTCTCCCAAGCAATAGGTAAATAGGACAGGCTGGGTTCTTTAGCCTTGAGTGGCATCTAGTCTAGGAGAAGGACAACTCTGAATTCAAAACCTCCAACTATGGATTTAGTCTCCCCAACCCATAATTGGCTAAGTGTGGGTTACGCCCATGGAAACCTGGTCAATAAGGGAGTGGTTCCTCTAAGGAGTAAGAAACTCTCATTATTTTTTTTTACATATATGTATAAAATCTAAAAATGTGCATTAGTTGAAAAAATAAATGTAATTGTTTCAGCTTTTAATTACGAAATCCACTGAATGTTTGTGGGTTTAGAGGGGAACTTTTTTTTTCTTTTTTAGTCATTATAGTCTGAACAGAATTATCTGCCGAAAGGTAGGATTTTTATTTGTTCAATTTTTTTTTCTTCTTTAAAATTTAAATTGATTAGTCAAGCTTCCACGGTGTTGTGCACTAGTATGTATTTTTTTTTTTATTATTTCTTGGTCAACATTTTCTTCAAACACTAATTTTCTACCCTTTTTTAGAAACCGCACGAGTAATAATTAATAAATACTATTTTTTTGGTGATTTCGTCTCTGACCTTTTTCAAAGAAGAAACTGTCAGCTAGCAATAAGATTTTTTGTTCAATGGAAAGAACATTATATACAAATTTAGCAAAACTTTAATAATTATTAATTATAAAGATGTTTAAATGATGCATATGATTTGGTTGTTTTACAAATTTTGCATTCATTTGAATTTATACTTTTAATTAGAAAACTGTTTGATATAATTTTTCTTTATATACTTTTTTTTCCCTAGAAAAAAAAAGTAAAAATCTTAAATTCAAGTTGATAAATAATGTCATAAAAATATATTTTTGCTTGCAGTATATTAAGATTGAATATTGTGAGAGGATTTTTTTTCTTTTAAATGCAAGGGATACATTTTGGCATTTGTTGGCTTCAGATATTTTATTTATTTTTTGAAGCAATTAAATCTCATTTGAAAACAGACCATCCATCATCTGCAAGAGATTAGATCACGTGACCTTTTCATTGATAACCCGTTTTTTAATTAAAATTCTCTTTATTTATTTACTTGCTTCCTCCCACCTCCTACAATCTCAAAAAAGGTTATTACTACCGCCGAAATTATCAAAGGTGAACAAACATAAACCAGTATGACCTTTTGAAGGGGGTGCCTTTCTTTACTGCTCTCTTTCTCTATTTGATCTCTGATCTCTTCGTCTGATGATTCAGAATTCTGAATACTTGTTCACGCAAGTATTACGAATAACTAGAATGACAGA